ACTATTTGTACAGTATTGAAATCTTTATGGAGTTTTCATTATGATGTTCGACATTCGTATATATTAGTATTAATACTGACAAACTGTAAATTATTATTAGATAGCATTATGTTAGAGAAAAACTTACAATACATCTATGGTTATGAACGTGATATTAGTTTAGTGTAAGATTAGATGAAATCTATACTACTCTCCTGTGCTATTATTATAAATAAATCAACACGTGCTTTGTGTGTCTGTGAATAAACAAGAACAAAACCTATAGAAAAAAGCTTATTTTTTCTTAATTTAAAAACAGCTATTTTTAAAAGAAAATGTCTGTCTCATCCTATGCAGCATTCTAATCTATAGTATCTATCATCTATCTCTCATCGTGCGGGCATTGCAATTGATATCTTTTTATTAAGACATCTATCAACTCTAAACTTTCTTATTAACAATACAAATAGTTTACAAAGTTTCTATATTTAAATCTGTCGATCTCAGTTATTCTTTATAATAGTATATATGTTTGAAACTTTAATCATTGTAGATATTTGTGACTAATCAAACAATGCTTCAACATCTTTATCTCGGTCAAAATAATATAACAGATGAAGGATTAAAATATCTTTGTGATATGCTTAAAACTAATCGAACATTATCATGGTTATGGTTAACTGGTAATGAAATTAGTAATCAAGGAGTAAAATTATTATCAAATACACTTGTTGATTATAATATGACTCTTGAAGGATTATTTCTTGATTCAAACAAATTAATAACTGCTTCAAGTATTGATGATCTTATTTATATGATTAAACGAAATAATACATTAAAAACACTTTATATAAATAATTGTAGTTTATCTGATATAATCAAACGAAAAATTCTTAAAATAACTAAAATGAAACAAGATTTTGATTTAGAAGTATAAATAGAATCTTGTTGTTTTTGTTTTGTATTCTTGTAATCAGCTTTTTTATGAAAGAAACAACCAAATTTACTGTTTTGTTTGATTATATACTATACTAAATGTCATATAATCAGGTTCAAATATAAGATCAGTTTTATTTGCCCATTCATATAATAAGCCGATCGATTCATCATTCATTATTGTCAATGATGAATAAGACGATGAACCTTGATAAATCGTTTTTATATATGTCCAATTTTCACCATTATCGTTACTTATATATAATGAAAGATTACTTCGAATAAATGATGTTTCAGCTAAACCTGTATAAAATATTTGATGAGTATTGTTATGATATATTGTTGAACCTTGACATCCAGTTAATGGTTGTACAAGTGTATTTAATACAATAACTTTATTGAATGTCATTCCACCATTATCACTATAAGCACCAATTCGTTTTTTACCTAATGAACGTGCATTTATAAATATTGAATTAGCATTGAGCAGTAATTCCACAGCTTGACATTCATTTGGAAAATAAGCGATACGATGAAATTCACCTCCTAAATACCATTTATCTAATTGACCATTGAAATCATTTAACATAACATAACCAGTAGACAATAAGCCATTATCATTTGGATGTGTAGAATAATAAGCAGGAATTAATATTCGATTTGATTGTAACAAAAGACCAGATGGTGGACCTAAACCAACCCATTTCCAATTAGATTTTGTTACATTAGGAATAATTTGTGGCTGTGAAAATGTTAAACCATCATCATCAGAATATGTTTGCATTATAATAAGATTATTTTTACAAAATGGTATTAAGATACGCTGATTATATTTTAATTGTACTGGTGCAATATTTCCTACTCGATTATAATTATCATTTGAAGAATTTCCACGATATAATATTTGTAAATTTGACCATGTTTGTCCATTATCTAAACTTCGTTTATAAACAATATCTGTTTGAGTATAATCACTACAACTAAACATTCGTGCTTCACCAAATGCTAATAAAGTACCTCTAATTGTTGTTAAGATAGATGGAATTTTTATACAAAAATAACCATATTCACCACGCGTAAATACAATACTATCAGCTGCAAATGAAAGTTTAATATGAATAAATAGAAAAACTAGACTTGTTATTGTTAGCATTTAATCTGAAAAATAATTAACATTCTTTAAAAATAAAAACAGAAAAATATTTTTTTAGAAATATTAAAATCATATATTCTTGATTCGAAATTTGTATACTTTAAAGAATATGAGAAAACCTATCCAACTCTATCGGACATCGTTTGACTTCATATTATGGCTACAATTCGGTCTCTGTAAAACTAAAAAACTTAAAACAATTTTAATCCATGATCGTTTCATGAAGAGTTACGGCCTTCGTAATAAAATTTTTACTAAAAGCAAAATATTTCTGAAAAACTCAAAACAAAAAAAATTTTGATCTGAAATTTTGTCTATAAATAGATTTAATAGAAATTAGATGAATATGAAAGATCTATCGAATATCTTGAGAACGAGATATTTTCGGAAATACTTTCCTCTAGGTAAAAATTTCATTAAAACGATCATAATTCTTCATCAGTAGGTCATAGGCTCGGATCCTTTTAAACTTTTCTTAGTCTGACATGAACCTATCTGTAGCCACAATATGAAATTGAACGATGTCCTACAGTAAAATAAGTTCCTTCTTCAATATTGTTAACATATGCCGATTTTTATCTAATGACTTTTTGAATATTTAGTATTATAATAAATCAGTCGTTTTCAACGGTTAATATTATCAATCTGAAAAGAGAATTATCGAAACTCATACAGTTTTATTCACTTACGCAATCGTTTGGATAAATAATGTAAAACCAATAATGAATCCTTTTTACGTATTCACATTACTTTAGAATTAAACGTGCGCATTACTTTTTTTCTTAGTTACTGATAAAACTTTGAAAGAACAAATAAAATAGATAATAAAATCATCTTTTCTTATTTTCTTTTATCAACAGTATCATATTAATAGTTAAATATTCTTCATGTAAGAACAAGACTCGATTACAAATGTTTGAAGTCTCTGAAAAAACTAAATTTATTACATATGTTCAATGACATTTAACAGAATATTATATAAACTCGATATGCAAGTAGCTAACATTGGAGACTAAATCTCAATCTATCGAATAACAGAAAGGTGAGAATATTGTAAATCTTGAGACTAGGGGAAATATGTTGAAGAATCTACGAAAATACAAAATAGATGAAGAATTGAATCGTATCGCTGAGGAATATGTTAGGAAATAATTAGAACTTATTGAAAAATATAAAGAATTTCATTAGGAAAATGGATTCATCAAAAAATCAATCGAATAAGTGAACTATTGATTATTTATATTCATATTGAGTAAAGACAATTCGAGAATCAATTAATAAACTTTAGGTACATGATTTATTTTCAGGAATGGATAGCGATACGAAATAAGCATTTATATCTTAAAATGTTATGGAACACAACATCGAATATGTTTTAGTTCAAGCAATTTCCTACAAGAATATACTCGAAATATTGAAAAAATCCTCACAGACATTGAGTTCTATCTCTCAAAGACAAGCAGTTATTTTAACACCAAGTACAACTATAACTTTCAGAGAACTTAATTGTTACCAAGTTCCCAGTAATAACAAAGTATATACCATTCGTAAAATCTTTCAAAATATTAACATGCCTTATTTGCACAAGAAGGCATTTTATTATATGTCAAAAACAAAAATAATGATTCTAATATGATAAACGATTATTAGAGAATATTTAAAAATATAATAAACTTAATACATATCAACTTAAGTATATATTATCATAGTTCGATAATAACAATGAATTTTGAATTTTTAGAGATATGAAAAAAAAAGTTTCTATCTCATTTAATATGATGATGTACAGCGAGTGAGTTTTTCATGAGTGAAAAATCAGTTCTTTGTCCATGATGGTTGTAATTCGAATGAGAAGACTGGAGTTTGACAAGATAATTTATTACTTTGTCATGACTCAAATCCTAGCAAGGAACAATCTCCTCCTATTTCTCTCAGTTTTATCAAATAACAATCTAATTTTAAAGACGCTTGACTATTTCATCCCATAATAGACAATGAAGATTTTTAAACAATTAAAAATTTACCTGATATTAATAATCCTTATCATGAAGAACTAGTAGTGATAGACACAAACGATCCCAAGAGACTTGCTGTGTTAAATCGCATCAAATTGAAAAACACTTTTGGTATGACTTTTATTACTGACAACAATCTCATTGTAGGCTTTGGTTTACTTCTAAAACAAGCAAAGATACTCATATTGTAGCATATAACATTGAATAGTGTCAATAAATAAGGCAACGGATGTCATCATACACACTTTCTTAACGTGTACAAAAATTATTTATACATAATTTTATATATGACGAGTGAATATAAAAGACAAACAGCAAAATAGAAAGTTTTTTTTTTCAATGAATTCTCGAGTTAATTTGATTAATTTGAATATAATGAGTTGTTTTATTATATATTACAGAAATAATAATCTCTTTCAAACTGATTTCGGTAAGAAATTCAGACCATGTATTATAAGCACGTTTGCACGAGCAAATCATCATACCAGTATTCATGGCAGTAATTTCTAGTATTAGAAAGAAGTTTGTAACAAAAAAGTATAATTTGATAGCAATTCATGTACAACATGATATGATAACACTTCTGCGAACATTACATTTTTGCATCAATTAAATGACAATTCGAAATGTGTTAACCGATTAGATACCTAGTCTCTCGTATGACGCGTATGTTTGACACGTGCTCGATCAAAGCGTATAACCAGATCATAAGAATAACATCTAATTGGCACCCAGAGAGAGAGAGAGATTATTAGTACAAGAAAATTTGATGAAAACAAGCATCAATTAACTTTCAAAAAAACATATAGTGTACTTTATTTTCATTTGAGATTATTAAATTGAAAACAACTTTTGAATGGTCTTCGATCAAACTTTGGATATTCAAATATGTGAATTATGGTTAAATCAAAACAGTTTTATGTGTCAACAGTTTTTTCGTCTTGTTTTAATTGCAAAGCACCTTTTTTTGGTTTTTGTTCGTTCTTGAATGTAGTAAAAGCTTCACATTCGATAAAGCCTGCATTTGCATCATATTTATAAGGAAAACATGTTATTGGAATACGCTCTGAAAATAATTTACGTTCACCAAACAGACCTCGAGAAATATCTTTTTTCATTTCAACAGGTGGTTTTGACGTTGCTGTTGAAGCAATAAGATAAAATTGTTTACCATCAACATCCATTTCAATAATAGTTTCACCTTTCTTATTTGAATAAAAAGCTCGTAAATATCCTGTACGAGCCGAACGTTTTCGTTGTTCAAACCAACCATATAGAGCATCTTGATTTGATGTTTTATAGAAAAGAACAGCTGAATAAATATTATACCGGAAATCAAGATGACTAAGTTCTCGCTCTAATGCTTCATTTTCCAATATTAATTCATTCAATGGTACCGTAAAACCGACGTGAAGTAAATGACCACGTGCAGAATTATTATTTGCAGCTGCAGCCATTATTGCATTTATTTTTATTCTTTTTCAAATACTAAAATTGTTCGGTTAAATATATTATGCATCCACCTGATTCAATATGATAACATTATATGTCGTAGAAAAATGATATTTATTCTCCTGATTCATCTAAGTTGTGCAATAACAAAAACATCTGACAAAAAAAAGTACTTTTATTTGCTAGATGTCTCACTAAGTCATCAAAAATATAGACAAACAGAAATTATTACTACAATGATAAAATCTAAAATGATTGATATATTTATTTATCTTTTAAAGCTGGTGATATATGAGTTGTGTCGTCTGCTTCTTTGTAGAGAAGAAAATGTTTGCTCGACATGAAATTGTTATGACCTATAAAGTCATAGATCACCCTACATGCTATATCATTCATACCCTGGTGGAAATAATGAATTTTCAGCATACCAGTGAAATGAGACGATTTTCATCAGAGTACTTAGGGTGTACCAAAAGTTCTGATCACGGCGTTACTTAGCCATATAGTAAGCTTTAAAAATCTTTCTTTCTATATAAGCCTGATAGAGAAAAGAATGCTCTATTTTTCTATGCTATTTGATCATACTTCAACTAATATTATGATAATAAATTTTGGATAAGACTTTTTCCGTTATCGTCTGTGGTCTAGTAAGTTTTGGATTGCAGTATCCAATCCCCTAGTACATTGTATTAACAACCAGAGTATACCATAAGATGCAGCGTGAAAAGCTCTACAATTTACATATGACCACTTTATAGTTGAACTTTTCGTTTTCAAAATGGACAATATTTTGGAAGATCAAAGTTCAACCATGCGAAATTTATAATGTTTTTGATACATGGCGAATTCATTTTTTTTTATGTCATCGTTTTGTCATCTGATATGCTTTATTGTATTAACAACCAGATACACTACAAGATGCAGCGTGAAAAGCTCTACAGTCTTCACAGTGAAGCTTATTGTAATTGTTTTAAAAAGAAGGAAAATTCCGTGCCACCAATTTTTGCAATGCTCAAAATTTGGCCCCTTAAAACTTTGTTTATTTTGAAAATGAAAAGTACAACTATAAAGCAAGTTGTTTTATGTAAATTGTAGAGCTTTTCACGCTGCATCTTATGGTATATTTTAATTGTAAATACAACGCATTGGAGGATTGAAAATTAACTTGCCTCATCCTTTGTGATCTAGTACTATGAGCACAAATGATAACAAAAAAAAAAGTGTTATCAAAAATTTATTATCATATTATTATTTGAAGTATGATCAAATAGCATAGCAAAATAGAGCACTCTTTTCTCTATTAGACTATATAGAAAGAAAGTTTTTTTTAAGCTTACTATATGGCTATGTAACGTCGTGATCAGAACTTTTGGTACACCCTAAGTAATTGGTCGAAAAATAATTAGTGACAGTGTAGAATTAAATGCAACATCTAATTTTGTATAGAGCGTTGTACGAAAGCAACTAGTAGGTGCTTTGAACAATTCTCATAATCAATATAATTTCTTATTTTCTAAAACTTTTACATGCTGTGGTTTTCGCTTTTCTATAATGAATATAGTTTTTATCTTCCTATAACATTTCAATAAATTCAAAAGATAGATGTCGGTGCGAGTGTCGGTGAAGAGAAGATCTACATTCATACCTCGCATCCACACTCACCCTGTACTCAATACGTTTATTAGAGTATTGGTTTTTCTGTTTTTTTTAATCACGTCATAATATTTCTATGTGACTATTTTGAGTCAGATACAATAAACTAAATGATGAATCATTTCCAATTGAAAAATAATTCCATTCTCAAAAGGTTAAAATATCTCAACTCAGCTTTCAGAACATGACTGTCAAATTTGATTATAATTAACAGAAAAAATATAATATTTTTTCTCATAAATGATAACGTTGGATTCAACGATTTTTGTCAAACTCTCTATATTAAAGAAAACAAAATAATAATATTGGACATTTTTAAATACATCTTTTATTATATACCAGGTATATCGCTCAAACAAAAAAAAGGAAAGGATATCGATTTTTACGTAAATTTTACTTAGGAGTAGTTGAATAATAAAATAAAATATCTTGTCTATGACAGAAAATTGCACGTAGTTAGTGTTTGTTTTTTAATAATTGTATCTAAAGTAAACATAAGCGATCGAATGATTTATTGATGATGTATTTAGAAAAAATGTCAAAGAAATATTTTATTCTTCTTTTTGAAGTATCGAATTGAATTCTTTTAACAATTTTCAATGATTGAAAATTGCTTACATTACAATAAGCAATCATAAGATAGAATTTACTAAAAAATTCTTCTCATTGGACCACATTAGTTTTCATCTATTGAAACTAAAATTTCAACTGTATAGAAAATTCATCTTTATTAATCGAATTATTTCAAAGGTGAAAATATTACAGGATGAAACTGATTTGAAGTTCTTAATGTAAAACTATATTCTTCAATTAGTCTGATTTTAGACCTATCAAAAACTCAAATTTAGTTTACTGTTGAAAAGATTGTTAAACTTTTTTGAAAGTATAACTTGGTATTTTATTAAGCGTTTTTTCTTATTCAGAGCGTCTTAGCTGAAGTTTGACTCTCATGATTAATAATAAGTTCAAGAAATAATTTATATTCATATTCAATGTAAGCAAACTGAAAACAGATCAAGAATAAGATCATAACTTGACACCAACTATTTATTTATGTTTTCTTTTGCAGTCATCATTGAATAGCCAAAGGTTGATGGTTCGAATATTTTTAACATTTCAACAAATCAATAGCTAATGTTTTTATGATTATTTGAAATTATCGGGACATGTTTCTAACAAAATGAGTGAATATTTTATCTCATAGTCTAGTACCAATATAAATAATCACTGTTGATTATTTAGTTTTTGTAATCATGAAACAAACATAGTGACATATTAATAAATCTTATATAACAAAAAATAAGGATAATTTGAACAATAGAAAACAAACAAAATACAATTGGTAAATATGGCTTCAATTAACACGTCAAGACTGTGAAGAAGCATCTATACTCGTAAAATACATTTTAATCCATTTCGAGCAATTTTTTATTTATCAATTCTAATAACATACCACAAGCATGATGCACGGTTGTTTTTTTCTGGTTCTTATCTTTACGATCCTATTATTTTTTGTATAAAAATCTTCATAGCTACGTTATGTTTCTCACACGGTGACCACCATTTATCGAGGTTTATATCAACAGAGTAACGGTTGTTCTTTTTTTTTAGTTCATGATATAAAATGTCTCGAAAAGTTATAATATTAACCAGTGCAATTACAACTTATGTAAGTGTAACTCCTTACACATTGTGTAACACATCCAGAAAAAATGAATACGCTTTATTATGAGAGAAAAAAACAACCATGCTTGTCTTTCGGATATTTTAGGGATTGTATAAATATGTCAAGTCGAATAAGAACAAACGATATGTTCACTCAACAAGATCTGTATCCGAGCACCCAACGAGTCTTATCATTGGCACCGGTATTATTGGTCTGACGAGTGCATACTATTTAGCTAAAACTGGACATAAAGTTATTTGTATTGAAAAACGAGAAGATGTTGCTCTAGAGACAAGGTAAAAACTAAATAAAAGTCAAAGTTAAATGTCTTAGTAAATATCATAGCTATAAAAATGGTGCATTGATTTGTCCATCTCTATTAACACCATGGGCAAATTCCGAAGTACCAAAGAAATATTTCAAATCTATATTTTCTTCTTCATCAAAACCAACATCTACTAAAATCTGGCCAAGTACATTTTTCTCTCTAAAATTCTATCGTTGGATATATGAATATTTAAAAAATTGTACAACAAAAGCTCAAATTAAAAATGCAAAACATCTCTTAACACTTAGTATGTATTCTCGACAATGTTTGAATGATATTCTTAATGAAGTAAATGTCAAATATTTTATAAAATTTATTTCAATTTTTTTACATTTCATAGACTTCTATATCATTTTCACGTCATTCGAATGGTTCATTACAAATAGCTATAGATCCGACTGTCTTACTACAAATAATTGAAGAATCAAAATATATTAATAATATACAAATTTTATCAACATCAGATGAAGTGATAAAACATGAACCAATATTAACAACTGTAAAAGATCGATTCTATGGTGGTGTTTTTAGTCCATTAGATACAAATGGAAATATTTATGAATTTTGTTGTGAATTAAAAAAAATTCTCATGGAAAAATATGGTGTTCAATTTTTATTTAATAAAGAAATTAAAAATTTTATTGTAACAACTACAAAGGAAAGTCATAATAATTATCAACAACGTCATGTAACAGGAGTTGTAACAAATGAAAATAAAATTATTAATAATATAGATAATGTCATTTTAACAAATGGAAATCATGTTATGCCATTAATGGAAAAATTAAATATTTATATACCAGTTTATCCTGTCAAGGTAAAAATATCTATCTAAACTAAAATACTTTATTTCATATTAGTTATTGTAGGGATATGTTGTCGAAATAAGAACACCAGCAAATATTTTATTTCCATCGATGAATTTAGTCGATGATGGAAATAAATTATATATTTCAGCATTAAAACCAACTGCTGAGCAAGGCATAGTTCGAGTTAGTGGTCTTGCAGAATTTGCAGGTTGGAAAGTAAGAATATGACTTTTATTAACCATAATATATATCTCGATCGGTATGTTCTATTTCATAGGATATTGGTGTTCTTAGTGAACCAGATCGAGCTCAATATTTGTATGAACAAACAATAAAATGGTTACCACATTTAGAACCTTATGAAAAAGATTTTCATAGTTGTTCTCGTCCTGTATCAGCCGATGACGTACCATTAATTGGATCTTGTGATGATTTCGATAATCTTTTTGTTAATTGTGGTCATGGTAGTAAAGGATGGACGCTCGCATTTGGATCAGCTGCTGTGTTGGCTAATATTATTAATCAAAAGTCGAACAGGGAGGGAGCAGA